CCTATAAAAACAAAAAAGTTCTTTCTTGATCATCGCTGGTCGATCACAGAAATGAGTTGCAGCCTACATGTAGACCAGCCTGCCAGTTTTTTACTCAAAAAGATACGTACTTTTTTTTTTAGTTTGCCTCATCAGCATGATCAGGGCAGGCCATGCCATAAATTTGCTTGATTGAATTGGATCAACACTTGCCAAAGATTTATACATACATTACATAAATCATGCAGTCCTTTATTAGGCCAAAAAAATAAATGTAATGTTGTTGTGCTGTGCATGCCTCTCAAAAATTTGATCGGTAGGTCGGAACCCTTTTTTTTGTTTGGGGGCAATTTTGTGCTGATTGAAAGGCATCAGTAGGGAGGAAAGCTTCCAAAAGTATCTCAAAAAGTGAAGAACACCTGTCTTAATCAATGTAAAATTTGTACTTACGGCAATTCACAAGAAAATTATTAACAATTCAGGCAATCACAACGGCAAACTGGCCAACAATGTCCGTCTATCGCGTGGTAAGCATGCGTGATGCATCTAGATCAGCGGGCGCTAAAGTGAGCAGAACAACCTCAAATTTCTCATGAACACAGAAAATACGTACATAAATAAGAGCCCAGGTTCTGTGAATTAACTTGCAGAAAACTTCTTGGAACATAGCAACCGATGTCTTTCCGGCCTGACGCGTACGGCTGATGAAGAGTGGTTATGTACAGTACATTCAACACATGTACAGTACAGTCTGGTACTGATTGCTACATTTGCACGAAACATTCTTTTTCACGGGTGTGGCACGACGGGAACCAGAGCAGCTACGTTTAATGCACGTGTTTTTTAACCACTGGGACAGCATGCAAAGAGTTGTAAGGGCGATTATACATCTGTGCGTGGCACTAGGTGACATGGGTCGGTGATGAGCGATCAGCCCTGATTAATGTCTTGGGCGTAATTCTAACACAAAACTGATAATAAATCGGACGCCATTATCCCAAATACTGTGTTGATATTTTAAGAGCTGTTATTGACATGTTGGTTGGACAATTCGTCCGAGCATTTTTTTATTTTGTTCGGACAAACACAATAAGTGCTTGGAGTCAGAAAATGTCCAATGTCCAACCGTAATTTCACACTCTGATTGTTACCCTTTTCTTCGAGCCATCTCCACCGAAATTTGTCCTTGACATCTCTTTCAATATCACGAAGATCCTCATTTCTGTTGACAATTAGACGCTGCATTTTTTTGGCCCTCGAACATGAAATCGATCCACGCGTGTTGATCATCCAACGAACAGTACAATGTACGTCCATTGTGCACGTTCATGCACCGCACATGAGGCATGAGCATACATCCAGCTAGTGCGTATTTCAAGTCACTGACAACACCACTCAATGCTGTCCTTCGTATTTCATGCCACAATGACTGACGTAAGCACTCTATTCTGACCACTGCGCTCAAGATTAAGTACCCAGTTGCGTGGCGCAGGATACATGCGCATCATAGATTTGCTTCCAGTCTTTTCTTCTTTATTTAATTCTGTCAATGTTAAAACCATTGAAAAGGGAAATGTAAAAAAATCGGATTTGGGAGGAAAAATACCAAACATTCGGATTTCCGATTAAAATCGGAAAAGTGGCATCTCTGATTAATACTTAATCTCACCGTAATGACTCTGAGATGTTCATGACAATTGATCTCCTTAAAAATAAAACTGATCTCCTTAACCCCTTAACACCAGTGATTCTTTTGACCGCGACTGCTGGGCTGTGGTATGCCCAGTACGCAAAGCCTCGTCCAGCAGAAGGCCCACATTGAAACCGCAGGTGCATGATGAATAGAATGTACAATTTATGTGAGGTATGTACTAATCTTCACTCTGAGCCGCAGCTTTTGCCATCTACCGGCGTTAAGGGGTTAAAAATAAAACTGGTCCCTTTAACATTGGCCAGGCCATGGGCACCCGTGCTTTAGCTTGTTTTGCCAAAACAAGACTCAGTTATTTACCCGGTATTATAGCAAGTTTGCCACAGAAATGATTTGTAATTATGTTCTGCCTTGTGACATGTTCACTAAGGCACCAAGGGTTACAACATAACAAGCCAGAAATACTGGAGGCAAGTATGATGGAGGGAGACTGGCTCAGGCAGGTTGACAGTGAAAGTGTCAATGCTTATTCTCACCTTGGCAACTCTGAGGTGTTCTGCAGCTGTTTCCCTGTCACCAGCCCTCTTGGCTTCAAGGGCAGCCATCTTGTACTCATGTTGCCTCTTCTTCAGCAAAGCCATTTCACATTCTGAAAAAGAAAAATTCAAGAATTGTTTGTTTTCCCAGATACCATACTGGAAAACTGACAAGAATTTTTTAAGCAGTAACAGATAGATTTATGAAATTTGTAAGTTTTCAGAATGAATTCTACACTGAAATTGTCGGTTGAATTTAAAAATACAAATCCATAGTTTACCAGTACATTCAATGACTTCCCTCATGGCTACATGCATTTCCTCATAGGTTTAGATTGGCAAGTGTAATCTGTAGTTAACCAATGAACAATCTCAGGTTACTTGAAGTGCTCCACCCAGGTCAAGAGGTAATACGTCGATGACAACTTGCGAAATGAATCCAAACGGTTTAAAGCAAAAGACATCCAAACACACACTTCTGCCTTTCTTTTACAGAACTAAGTTAACTTGATCCAATCTGTCACTGAATTAAACTACATGTATTTTCAGAATTATTTACAACAGGTTAAATTCCCTTGGCAACATTTGAAAATGCCACCGTGTTTTTGCATTGTATTGTGGTATGCTTCCCCAACAAACCAGCTTGGTGCATTGGTTACTCGGCCAGTAAGCGTGAAGTGTAATGCGAGTATTAAAATTGAGCACAGTTGTGCTTAAGAATATAAGCACAGAGGAAGTAACAGAACATGCTGTTTGTAAGTAAACATAATCCACAAGGGAAAACAATTTACAGCCCCCCTCCCCGAAAAAAGAAAAAGCTTTTGAAGCAACTACCTCAAAGAGTTAAAATCACCTAACACAACTGATAGGCAGCATGTACACATACATGTATATAAATCGAGAAATCCATGTGAAACAAAAATTTCTCAGAATTTTGTTAAACCAAATTTAAATCCATGTTTGTATTGTAAGGTTTCTGTAACCACTTCCTGCCGGGGAGCCCGGTACTTTCAGAACTTTCTTTCCAAAAAAAATTTCTTTAGAAAAAGTTTACTTGCTGTCAGTCAGCTGCTGGAACTTGTCAATCAAGGTTCCTATGCTGTCTGCTGAGTGCTGGAACTTGTCAATCAAGGTTCCTATGCTGTCTGCTGAGTGCTGGAACTTGTTAGCGGAGGTACATGTAATACGTCATTGCTTGAAACAGTACCATTGTTTGCTGCTGCCAGCACCCGCGGATTATCAGTGGGGACAAAGGTGATACAATAATGCTGGGTGCTTGTGGAATCTGGCCGTATTAGTACAGACAACACCGCTGTCCAGTAACGCAATGGGCCAATTTCCAGAACAAAGGGCAAATTATGCAACACCGCAAAAATGGGGGCTCTTTACGGGGCTGCAGGCATGGCTGCAATACTCAAACATCAATGGAGATTGCTTGTCAGATAAGACTCGCCACAAGACAGTCATTTGTTTAGGTGTACACATCCAGTAAAAGAAAAATGAAATTTTGAAGAATTTTGAAAACGGAAAAAGTGAAAAAGCACCCAACAGCATGTCCTCCATGCCGCTATCTTCACTTGGCAAGAAGTGGTTAACAAAGGAACTTACCTCCAACCCCTTTTGTCGAAGGGTCTCCAGGCACACTAACATTGTTACTGCGGGATGGTTGGACTGCTTCACTTGCTGGAGGAGGGGGAGCCTTTTCTGGTTCTTGGACAGGTTTATGTTGTCCTCCTGTGGCAACCATTGGTGGAATTTCTGATTCATCAATTTTCGCTCCTTGTTTCAGCTTCTTCTCAAGGCCTTTCAGTGTCTGTCAATGGAGGACAATTAAGATTTCACAGAAAATGAGCCAGTAGAAAGGCAAGCCATAATATACAGTTAATTCCACAATATTCTGGGATCAATTTTACAAGCTATCAGCAACATGCTGTATTGTTTGACATTTTTTCTTTTAAAAGCCAACTGAATGTAAAAGTGGAAGTGACACCCAAAAAATTGTCATATTCAGAGTATTATTAGGAATGTCGTATCAAATGAAAGCATGAGGTCTACATTTTTCAGATATAAATTCTGATTTTGGTATTTAGTGATCAATAGACAGCAGGAGGGGTTACAAAATAATCATTTTTTTCCAAAAATGTGAGCAATGTTCATGACTCCAAACTAAGCAATTTCCTAATTATTGGTGTACATGTACAATTATATATAACGGNGCTGGCCGCGAACTATTTTCAAGATGTATTTTTGCATTGGGGAGATGTCAATTATATATAACGGGTTTGCCCTTACCCAACGGCAAACCCGTTATATATATTAACATCTCCCCAACGCAAACATACATCTTGAAAATGTACATGTACAAGTTAAGCAAAGTCTGGTCCTATATACTTACATGTAGTACATATGTAAAGTACATAACTTTACAAAGGGTTTTCTTTGAATTTTTCATTTTGTTCCTTTACACTGAACATCTGTCATTTGGTTAATAAACTGTCATTTCTTTATGAAAAATTACACATTTTCTTCTTATTTGTAACTGTTGTGATTAGAATGTAGTGAAAAATTGTCAGGCAAAGCAACTTTGGGTAGGCCTATAATGTGGTGCTTTATCTCACTGCTCAAAATTCTACTTTTCTAATTACAATTACATGTAATTAAAGACCTGTCATTTTATTACCATGAGGACAACACAATGCCAGTAATACAATGACAAGCTTTAGATTCATCAGGTTGTGTGATGTTTGGATTACGTCGAATGAACAGAATGTTACACATATAGCAAGAACGTTAATTGATATGCTATTGAGATTATTTAACATACCGGTAGTGGCCACGCCTTTGCCTACCCACATCTTTATCTATTATTATGCTAATGAGCTACTCAGAATGTTTCATACATGAAAGTATTATTTACCAAAAATAAAGCTGACGCTGGGTAGCATACTCGGACTGCTTCATGTGTTGGGTACTATACCCCAACTCAGCTGTATTGTTTGTAAACCAAAACTCAAAACACACATTGCTATCGAGTTGATAACCACTACAGGTCACATGATTTAGTGGGCGCTATCGGGTCTAATGAAAAGCATCAATAATTAAAAGTGTTTATTTACACATTTGAGCCAATAATCCATTTGCTCAAAGGGGAGGCAATGTTACCTTAATTCCTCGTCCATATCGTCTGGCCTTGGAACCCTCATTAGCAGCTTCTGCATTCTTCAAAGCTAGCTGGTACATTTCTAACCTTTCCTGAACCAGTACTTTTACATCACTTTCTGTTTTCCTCTATGCATTCAACAAAGTTAACAAAGATGAGATGCTTTTACATAAAAACTGGGTAAAGATGAATGTTTAGATGACCAATTAAAATGTTGCACTATCTATGTAAGTCAGAAAAAAAAAAAATAATTGCCACAGTCAATCTGAATTAATAAAAAAAGGGTACAGGGATGCTACTGTTGATACTTTAAGCAAATCGAACCAAATGTCCCAAGATATCAATACAAAGGAATAACCAACACCTTGCATGACAAAGGTAATGCTGCATTTCTGTGAATAATTTGTCGATGTTCGCTATTGTATGGGACACTTTGTACCTACCTGTGGTGCAGGGGAACTTCTTGGTGATGGTTGAGGGGAAGGTTTAGGAGATGCCCTAGGAGAAGGTCTGGGAGATGGCCTCAAGGTTTCCATGTTGGCATCCTCCTCAGACAGCATAGCTAGCTCCGCCTACATACATACATGTATAACAAACACCATATCCTAAGTTGTTTGTTAGTTTCAAAATGACTGAGTAGAATGTTACCATGAAAGATAATTCTTAAGAAATCTGTCTGCTCAATGTTTTATGGTGATGTAAAATTGTGTAAAAGACATTATGTATAGGGCGAATGATTTTCAGTTTCAAAAAAATGTATTCTCAGTTTCCCCAAATCTGTATCTCTGTTTCGTACTTCCAAACTTCCATTATTAATAAGCATTATGTGTGCAGTAAATGGTAACATACAGGTGGCTTGGCCAAGAAATGGTAACTTCACGCTCCTGTGGACAAGATTCAATAAATACATATGCTGTAGGTTGATAGGCTGTTTCTTAAACAGTTGGACATCAATCTGCCATTTTGTTTCAATAACATGCAATGAAATTTGGAAAGTTTCTATTAAAATGCGACTCTTTACAAACAAGTTTGTTATTAGTAAAAATAGTACACCCTTTTATCAAGATTTGCCAGTATTCTACTTATTTATGAGACAAAATGGTCACATGATTTCAGTGTACTATTGTCCTCTTTTCTCTATGATTTGATCGTTCAACATGTGATTCTAACTTTTTTATCAAGGCATT